ATTGCACACTGGATTAGGCATATTTTATGTTCTATCTAACCTCAAAACCAAAACCAGTTTTGTTTCTGAGTTTTCTAATTTCTGTTAAGTCATTAAATAATTTTGAAACAATAATAAGGTCATCGACATGGACAAGAAGATAAATAGATTCTTTAAAATAGAGAAATGAATCTTTGATCTTTGAAACCAATTTCCAACATATAATTATTGAACTTTTCGTACCAACATTTAGGTGATTATCTCAATCCTTACAAGGCCTTTTCTAATTTACAAACAAAATTATCACTTACGTTGAGTCCTTGAGGAATCTGCATATAAACTGGATGTTTCAAAGTACCATTCAGAAAAGCACTTTTGACATCTTACTGGTGAATCTCCATGTTTTCTTATATGCTGAGAGCAAGTAGGATTCTCATAGTTACCATTCGGGCAACTGGAGCATAGACTTCTTTTTCCAAATTTGATAACTGGTAGCCTCTAGCTACTAGTCTTGCTTTCATCACTGTTGCACTACCGGTATTCACTATAAGTTCTTATTCCCAAAAAATCCATTTTGAGTCAATAATCGTTTCACTGTTTGGTACACTGTTTTTCGGTACTAATGTCCATGTCTGATTTTTGTCGAGGGCGCTTAGTTCATTGTCTATGGCTTCTTTCCATCTTGGGTCACTACTTATTGCTTCTTCATACGATTGGGGTATTTCTGACGATAAATCTTCAATTGACAAAGCTAACATTAATTCTTCTTCTTCATTCAAATCATAGTATTGTAATTTCTTAGGTAAAGTTTTCCTTCTTCCACTTCTTCTGGTTTTTGGTGTTTCATATTCCCTTTGCTTTTCAATGTTTGGATTGTTTGGTTCTTCCGGAGTTGCTACAGAATTTTCAATATTTTCATTTCCATGATAATTTTCTTCATATATATCTATCACATGTTTCTGGTGTTGATTGGAATTTTCATTTAAAACAATATTTCTGCCAATGACTATTTTATTTTTGTCTGAAATCCTAAAGACGATAACCATTATCGGTATAACCAAGTAGAATAATTTTCTTGCTTCTGGAATCTAATTTGTTGGTCCTTTCTTCTTTTGGTATATGAAGGTACGTCACATCACATCCAGAAATTTTTATTTTCTCCAAAGAACATCTCACACTTGTCTAATCTTTAAATCCATAAGAAGATGTTCTTTGGCTTCTGACCATACCAAATTTCTGCAGGAGTTCTACCGTCTTTGATGACCGAGTTTTCAGTTCTATTCAACAAATATATTGCAGTTCCCACAGAATCTTCCCAAAATTCTTTTGGTAAACCAGCTTCAAAGATTAGACATCTGGCTTTCTCCATAATCGACCTGTTTAGCCTTTCTGCCACACGGCTTTGTTGTGCTGTGTACTGTAAATTAATTCCTTTTCGAGAAGAAAAATTTTTGAATTCATGTGACACATACTCGCCACCATTATCACATCTGAGGCGTTGAATTCTGGAATTAAATTTATTTTCCACCAAGGCAACATAACTTCTGAATTTGGCAAAAACTTCACTTTTATGACTCAAGAAATAACACGCTGCAAAATGAGAATAGTGGTCTACAAAAGTGACAAAGTATCGATTACCATAATTTGATTCTTGAGTTATTGGACCACAGACGTCAGTTATGATACTACTTCAAATATTTTAGTGGGTTTCCTGCTTTCTTCCAATATTTTGTATGGAGCTTGGGTTTGTTTTCCCTTCAAACATATTTCACAAATTCTAGCCGATGGATATTTTGATGCATGACCCATTCTACGATGCCATAAATCTGGATCTTGTGAAATGTTCAACATAGCATGTTTCACATTGAAAGGTGTATAAGTTTCCTGTAAGATTCCCTTTCACTATTTTCTCTTTATCTTTAATAATATGAACTTCTCTGTTCATGAACAATATTTGTAGTCCTTTCTGTTCAACTTTTTTCACTGATAGTAAATTGCGAGTTAAATTATTACATCGCAAAACTTTTTCCAACTTAATGTTTTTACCATCATTTGTTTCCAAATGCAAAGTTCCTTAAAAGCCTCGCCTTGCTTAGCTACCTGTATTTCTTTCACATCAGTTAAATACTTGCCCACTTCTGTATTCACAAGGTGGTTTGTAGCTCCACTATCAACAATAAACATAATTGATTTTTGAGTTGAAAAAGCTTTATCGTCACTGGTTAAGAAGGCTATTTCATTTTCTTCGGTTAAATTGCACTGAGGATTTCTAGAACTACCTTGAGAATTATAGTTTTTGCTCGAATTTTGATTGTTTCTGCATTCAGATTTCAATTGCTATTGTTACTATTACTAGAGGTGGCACTACTAAAGTTAGAATGGAGGTTGTATGTATTATTATTGCCTCTCATACAATAATTTCCCCTCTTACTTCCTCTGCCTTTATCTATAAATTTTCTGCTCGTGAATACTTGTGGACCATCTTCTTTCTCATTTTTGTTTCTGCGCTGTCTTTCTGCTTCCATTAGAAGTTTATTTTTGACAACATCAAGGGAGATATTAGCATTTGCTTGACAGTACAGTAGGGATATTCATTGCTGTTACTACAGGGCTGTAAGAAGGTGGCATTGCTGCCAGGAGTTGGCTAATCACGTCTGTTTCCTCAATATTTCCACCACTGTTTCTTATATCTGAAACTGTCTTTTCAAATTCTATAGTAAATTATTGTGTGAGACCCCAAATTCAGAAACTTGTATGATATAGAATTGGCGAGCGGCGACTTTTGTTCCTGCGTGGAGACACAGATTGATATGAGTCCTATTTGCGGGTGTGAGAGTAAAACACAACTGTGGACTATTATTTTAATATGATTTTATTTAAAATAAATTTATCGGGCGTCGGCCAGAAAGGCTTGAAATATAATAACCAAAATTTTTACTCTGACATTTAAAATTTAACTTTTTTCTCACAAATACGTTAATTCTATTATAAAAATTCCATCTAGTAGTTTATCATATTCAATAGGTACCTAAGCTTCGTATCAAAAGTTTTCCTTATCAAAAATAATGTTAAATTAGAAAGTTCAAATTTTTCCAATTATCAATCACGAAAATCCTAATTAAAAATGTTATAAATAATTATGAATAACGAAATATGTTATAATACAAGATGTATTTATTACTTTAAAATTCTACTGGCATACACGTAATTACTGAAACGTTATTTTTACGACTTGACTTTATGAACCCGCAATTTCCTTAAAACTTTTCGTACTTTCTTCGACTCTTGACTGACTGTTCTGGACTGACTGTTCTCGACTGACACTTTTGACCGTTCTTGACTGATACTTCTTCTGAACCGACACTTTTTACCGTTCTCGACTGATACTTCTTCTGAACCGACACTTTTAACCGTTTTTGACTGATACTTCTTCTGAACGGACACTGCTATTTTTATCGCAATTCAGGCTTTTTATATAAAAATTGTCTGCTTCCTTCCTTTGTTCTTTCGGCCTAGTTTCTCCCCCAATTTTATGAGTACCTTGACATCAAGATTTCGTCATCTCGGCCCCCTTTTTTAGTGGAATGCGGTACCGTTTCTTTGTCGGCATACAGCTTTCCCGGAATTTGGGTTCAGTGACAGATTGCGTCATGTTAGTAAGGTGCCGCGTTTCAGGGACACATTCCAATTGAATCATCTATTTTTGAGTGGCCCCACTTATCGGATTTTTGAGAAGGGATTTCAGTTTCTGTTGTTTCTTTATTCGATGCTCAGATTATTTTTACTAGAAGTTCCGGCTGTAAATGGTTGAGTGTTGTTGTCTCCTGGGGTGTTTAATGTTCGGTAAGTTGTAGTTGATTTTTATTTCATTTTTCCAGTTTGATTTATGTTTTGTTTGTTGTTCGTTTCATTTTTCAACAAAATAACCAGATCTATTACTTAACAATTATTTTATTTTTGGCGGTTTTTCTTGGTGGATTATTTCTGCGTCACTACAATTGCAATGAATCTTTTTCTGTAAATTTCAGGTTTCTTAATTTACTTTGTAAATGTACCATCGTCACCAAAAGTATCTGGGACAAAAATAATGCATAATAATCTCCTGGACTAATTCTACTGTCACTCATTTCAATGCATTTGATTCATAGTTTGACAAATATTTGACAATAAAATTCATATAATAGTACAAGAGCTAATATGATGCTGTCCCAACTTACTTTTGGTGACGATGGTACCTACCAAATTTGCAATTCCTCTTTTCAAGAAAGTTTCTTTTAATTCTGTTATAATTTCTTTTGCAGAAGTTTTATTCTTGATCATTTCCAAAATGTTGTCTGATAAGCATTGCAAAATAACATTTCTTGCTTTAATGTCCTTTTTCTTAAAATCTGCTGTTACCGTTGGATCTTCAGTTGCTGCTGGGGGATCCTTTTCTAGTACTTCCAATACTTCGTTATGTTCCAGTAGTAATTTGATTCTAAATTCCCAATTTATGAAATCTACACCATCAAACGGTTTCACATTCATTGTAGCGGATGCTGTAGCCATTTTCATGTTTTCACCTTTCGCTTTTAACTTATTGTTTCTTCCCTTTATTCACTTTTGCGATACACAACGACACTGGGCCCATAACCTGTGAGCTTGCAGTGAATAAAACAATTTCCTGTTAAAGAACAACTAAAGTTTATTATTAAATTAGTAGGTACTGAAAACAAAGACACGTTTTTAAAGCTTCCTGCGACCCGTTACAACATTACATAACCTACACACGACTCGACTTGGAACAAAACTCAGCTGACTGACTGACAGTTGAAATACGGAACATAACCTAAATTCTACACTAAACGAAAGACAGATGTTGGCGTTAGCTACCAGAAACGACATTTCATAAATCTGAATTGTTATTTACATCAACAAAATTATGGAAAATTATGATAAGCAAAATTTGTGGTTAGTTTACAATGCAGTACCTAACCTAACATTTTTGTTGCTTCGATATTGAATTTTTTGGTTTGTTTTAGCTGTAAAGAAAATTATCATCTACACACAGACAACTTGACATGTATCGTTGACGATCCCTGCTCTGAAAACAACGGCGGATGCTCTCACGAATGCACCAACATCGATGGTTTTCTTAAATGCAAATGCCCTGAAGACTTTATTCTAGAAAATTCCACTCATTGCTCCGAAATGAACAAATGCGCACTTAACAATGGCAATTGCTCACATTTCTGCGAATTCTTGGACCATCAAGTGCGTTGTAGCTGTCCAGAATTCCACACTCTAATCAATAGCACGCAATGCGTTGAAGATAATCCGTGCCTCAATGAAGACAATGGTGGTTGCTCTCATCAGTGCGAATTCAAAGATCACAGAGTTATTTGTTTATGCCCTGAAACGCATGAGCTCCAAAACGAAACTCATTGTGTGGATAAGAATCCGTGTTTGGTTGGTAATGGCGGTTGTTCGCATGGATGTAATTTTGAGAATGGTAAGTTGTTGTTGTGGATATAGAAGATGATAATATTAAACCAAAAATTTAGGTGCAATGTCGTGTAGCTGTCCAGAAAATCACAAACTCGAAGCCAAATCCTGCTACAGATTAGATCCGTGTTTAGTTGATAATGGCGGGTGCTCACACGATTGCTTTTCCGATGAAAATGGAGAAGTTAAATGCAGCTGCCCGGAGAGTCACTATTTGAATGATACTAAAAATTGCGTTCAGGAAAATTTGTGTGAGACAAATAATGGAGGGTGTAGCCATGTTTGTGACTTTTCCACTGGAAAAGTAGTGTGTTCTTGTCCTGAGGGGCATGTTCTTGTAGATGGTTTCTGTAGACAGGTAATTATTATTTATAAATAAATATTGTTTTTTTTTATACTCAAATTTTCAACAGAAAAATTCATGCGAATTGCTAAACGGCGGTTGTTCAGACTTTTGCGAAGACATTGGAACTGATACAAGATGCTCTTGTCCAGAAAAATACGTTTTAGGACCCGATAAGAGGACATGTATTGTAGTAGGTGAGGATTTTCCTGAACAAAAAGGCCTATTTATATTATCAACAATCTCTTGTTTTAGGTGATCTTTGTTCTCAAAACAACGGCGGATGCAGTCACTTTTGCAAATCGGAAGGTGAGGTGATTCAATGTTATTGTCCTGATCACCATGATTTGATCGATGAGAAGGAATGTGTTCAAATTAATCTATGTTTGATTAATAATGGAGGGTAAGAGAAATAATATAGCAATTGGCAATATAGTCATGTGCTTTATATTTCCCTAATTATAGGTACTCTTAGCAAAGGCAATATTCAATAGTCAATTTTACCTAAAGTGAAATAAATTGCAATAAAATGTTAAATCTCAATTTCTTACATTTACCTACTTACAATTTTTCCTTATTTTCACTAAATTATTCTAACAAGTTTTTTATATGTTAGAAGTTTTAGTTTCTTTATTACTTATTGCACGCATATAATCAAGATTACCCGTTCTCAATTTTCTTTTAAGCTTCTCGATACGCGAGTGTCTTCTTTCTGAAAATACTTTTCGCAATTCCTTCATTTCTTCAAATTGCAAATTCTCACGTACAAGACTCCATTTTGAGCGCGAGTTAAATACTCAAACCAGTAGAATGCTTTTTAAAAAAGATTTATTTTAATAAGACTTAACTAACTGGTACAGTGTGTGACTAAAAACTAAACTTATTCTATGTAAAAAGCTCCCATGAAATAATAAAATACAAATTATGCTTATTCTATGATTATGCTGAGTCGAGCTATATATTCCTGGTATTGGCAGTTTACGTATTGGTTCATGTCTATAACTCTTCCTGCCTTAAGATTCTTCAACGTCCTCGTTGATGATGTCCTGTAGAGTTTTCAGGGAGATCGACTTCTTCTTCGTTTGCCATAAATACACAACTAGTATAAGGATTAGTACAGATATAAAAAATAATACAATAGTACTAGTTGCATGAGTTTTTGCTGAAACAAAGTCCTTAAATACTACGGGTTCCCTAAGGTCTTCTGTGATTTTTTCAGGATACATTAGGTGCTTAAGTTGTAAGTTCAGAGATAGGTTTGAATTTAATACAGTACTTTGGATTTCAGGATTTTTAATCTTGATACCATTTGATTGTAGAGCGTATTTATACTGACCAATAATTAATTACATCACATTGGCTCTGACTATAAGAACACCCTGTCAAATTATGTTCAATAAATTGAAAACAATTTTCAAAAACACTTTCAGAAGTTTTCGTACAAAATAAAAGAGCCTTAAGCTTAGCTGGTTAATGCGTGAACTTTATAATTATTACTTATTTTTGCAAAAGTACAATCTGTTAATAAGTTACATCCATTAATTATAGGATCAGTGCATATCCACTTCGTATTAATTTCTGAACACTTTGTATACCATAAGTTATTACAATAGTATTTGCTAGGACTAATTAAAATCGTATTGTTAAATGTAGGAATAGGATATATAATATCTAAATTACATGGTTTCATTTCAAAAATGGTGATCTTAACTACTAGAATTGCCATGTCATCAGATAAAATTAACCCAGTTTTGCAAATTAAAGTAAGTTCTATTATGTGCTTTATGGGCCATAATAAGTTTTATGTCATACCAATACATTATTGTGTTTTTATACCTTAGATACCATCTAAATAATTCATTACTTTATGCCCGCGCGGGCATAAAGACGCAAAAAACAGTTTTCAATTAACTTATTCTTCATTAGCAAAATATAAATTTACGCTGATAAACATATTATTTTTGTCAAAAAATTATGATGTTTGCACACTGATGACAATTTGCGAAGTGGCACTTTTTTCCCAGGTATTTATTATTCACAACCAACTGGTATGACATAAAAATTTGTATGCACCACGGGTACTAATAGATATAATACCCTCGGGCCACTTACGAACCCTCGGGCCAGAGGCCCTCGGCTTTGTAAGACTGTCGCCCTCAGGGCATAATCATCCACTTAGTACCCATGATACATAAATAACTATTTTGGATATTGAACTTCTAAATAATCCCAAATTTCCTTTATTTCTTGTGTATTTAAAATTTCAAGATCTAAAATTTCTAAATGAGCAAAGGTTAAAGTCCGCAATAATTTTTCTAAGTAAGAGTGTAGATTTTTTATTTGTAAAAGCTGATTTTGCATTTCTACTAGAAGCATAATTGTGTCGTTTAAAACTGTTATTTTATATTAATAAAATCCCAGATTCGACGACTTTAAACAACGTATTTATTATTAACAATTCGGTTACGATAGAAGAGAGCAACCAATAACATTGACAAAGTTGACAGAACACACATTTTATGTCATTGCAATATTAGCAGGTTGCACATTATAAAATCGTATCTAAAACATAGAGCTCTATCTCCTAATGAGAAGGTAAGCTTACATATAAATTCTTAACAAAAACATCTATATTGGCTTTAAGTTTTGTTGAATTTTCATTTATAATGTTAACATTTTCTTGGAATCGGGCGGTTATGTGCCCGGCGAATGAACTTAGTTCGTTGATCTTGTGCATAGAGTTAATTTGATTATTCTTCAAAATTTGCATGTGTTGGTTTATATTCTCTAGATCAAGATCGTCTAAATTACCTGTAATGAACTTTATAGAGCTTCCAAGGAAATTTATCAATCCACGCTTTTTGCGAGGTAAGGGGTTAATTGAACTTAGTTTCCCATAGGAATAATGAGTGTAATTTAATTCTTTATGTGCTTGCGTAAAAAGCGATTTTATCGTATTATTGTACCTATTTGTAAAATGTATTAATATAAAAAATATCTATAGATTAGAAGTTAACTCAGCTAAAGAAGACTTAATACTCTAGTAAGGTTAAAATATATATATGTATGATGATAATGGTTTAAAACCATCGTGGGTGCTATTTTTTCAGCATAGTATCCATTATTCGGTAGGGGTTGATCCTGGGGGTTTGGTTTAGGCTGGAAAGATAAAGGATTTTTCCTTATTCTCTTAATTTTTCTAAAATGACCTGTTATAGTGAATGCAACAATATACCGTTGATCTTCTGACTGCAATAATACCTTCAACAATGCCTATACAATAGGGTCTAATCCAGGTAGTTAATTTATTGCAATAAGAGTCAGCGGTATATTGTTGCACCTACTATACTTGCTTTTTCTTAAAAAGTCCAGTAAAAGTATTTTTATTAAGAGTCCTTACTTTGGTGGGTATAAAAGAAGGGTTCATTTTATTTCTAGGAGGGTTTTTGCTATAAATAGTTTGTCCTTCTGTTAATTCGGGAGTGGGACTAGTATTTCTATTTTGTTTTTGGGTGTTTTTGGATTTGGTTTTGTGTGTTTCTTCAAAAACCTTTTTATGAAACGGTATTAGTTCATTTTTTCGTTGTATTGTTTGTATATAGTCAAATCATTATTTATGTTTGGTTCGTTAAAATAGGGTCTGTATAGTAAAGAGAAAGTTGAGAAGCCTGTTGTGGAATGGATGCTTTGATTGTATACTAATACAGCTGAATCATCAAATTCTGGGGAGATTCTTCTGGATTTTTCATTTTTTGGGTTTTCAATTTTTCTAATAGGGTAGACTGTAATCGTTCTATTATATTATTAGATGTTGAATTACCAGGAGTCGTGTAGTGTAGATCTATATAAAAGAGTTAACAAAATTCTTGAAACAAGCGGTTTTTAAACTCTGATCTTTGATCTACGACAATCTTTTTGAGAGTGCTGTGATGAGAAAAGTAATGCCTGAGTTTGTTAATTATTGTGGTGGCATTTTTGTCAGAAACGTAGTAAGCTTGGGCGTATTTAGAGAAAGAATCTATGATAGTTGAAAACTGACAATTTGAAAATTGAAATATATCAAGGTGTAGGGTGCTGAATGGTTTTTCTGCTAACAATGGACCTTCGTAATTTATTTTATGTCATACCAATACATTATTGTGTTTTTATACCTTAGATACCATCTACATAATTCATACTAATAGATATACAGGGTGGGGACTTTAACTGGAACTAATTCGCTTGAGCCTTCGGATAAAATACATGTACAAAACGCAAAAACAGGTCGATTAAGATTTTTTGCTTGAGATTTTTTCACATTAATTTTTTTATACAGGGTGTTCCAAGAATAGCTGTACGGTTGTCAACTTTATTTTTCCAAATGGTAGCCCCTATATATTATGACGTTTCTGGATTCTGCAGAAAATTCTAGACATATTTCATTTACAATGTCATATACCTATCTTCAACTGTTTCGGAAATATTGACAGTTGAAAATTGACTTTTTTCAACTTTGACAGGCTGTAAAACCTTAACGGTCAATTTTAGAGGAAAACCGATTTCACATTCCTGTCTTAGATTTTCATAAGCTTTCATTTGACACCAACTTTGAATTTAATCCATGATTAAAAATTCCAGTTAAATTCAATCTCCAGTTAAATTCGAAGTAAGTGTCAAATGATAGTTTATGAAAATCTAAGATAGGAATGTAAAACCGGTTATCCTCTAAAATTAACCGTTTAGGTTTTACAGCCTGTCAAAGTTGCAAAAAAGTCAATTTTCAACTGTCAATATTTCCGAAACAGTTGAAGATAGGTATATGACATTGTACATGAAATATGTCTAGAATTTTCCGCAGAATCCAGAAATGTCATAATATACAGGGGCTAACATTTGGAAAAATAAAGTTAACAACCGTACAGCTGTTATTGGAACACCCTCTATGAAAAAATTAATGTGAAAAAAACTCAAGCAAAAAATCTTGATTGACGTGTTTTTGCGTTTTGTCCACATATTTTATCCGAAGGTTCTAGCGAATTAGTTCCAGTTAAAGTCCCCACCCTGTATATATATATATACCCTCAGGCACTTACAAACCCTCGGGCCAGAGGCCCTCGGCTTTGTAAGACTGTCGCCCTCAGGGCATAATCATCTACTTAGTACCCTTGTTACATAAATAACTATTATACGGGTGCCTCTCATACTTGTTTTGTAAGCAGATTTCACAGGTAATAATTAGAGTTGTTATGGTTTCGCGCATTTGGGGCCAATAGTATTTTTGTTTTAGTTGGTTGTAGGTTTCTGTTATGCCGTTATGATTCTTCTGATGGTACTCAGATACAATATCTTTTTGTTGTTCTTGATTTTCAATATCTGTCAAATAAATGTTTGAGATTTGAAGTTTGGCAGAAGCATTTAGATTTT